CCAAAAGTGCTTCAGGTTTTCAGGAAAATCCAGTCAGAAACTTTCAGAGAGGAAAGGAATAATTTGACTGTCCTGAGTATATGTTGCTATGCATCCTGCCTCAAACACATAGACTTGATGTATCCAAAACACTCAACAGCACATTCAAACGTTCAAAATAGTAGTTCCAAAACACTATTTTCATTTGAGATCATACAAATAATGCTGTGAGGACTCTAATAATGCAAGAGATGGGAAGATGAGTACTCTGCAGACACATCATTAGCTGTAAACTTGGCTACTGAAAAAGCCTTTCTTTCACAGCATTAAATATTTTCCTCTGAAAAACTTGTAAATTCAGAGATATTAACTGTTTGTCAGAACATCTCACTACTCATAACACACATTAGGTATACTAGGAGTTGTATTTTCAGAATAACCCCAATGGAATGGAACTGGAGCATTCAAGCCCCCCCAGAAGAACCTGAACTAGCCATTTTGCCAAAGTAATGTTCTTGCCATTAGAAGAAGGAGGAATAAATTGCTGAGCTGGAATGCAAAATTGCAAAGAAAACATGATTCATAAGAATGGCTCTTTGTATTAAATTCCCAACCAGGCTAAGAAATTCAAAGTGAGACACTCCAGGGCAAGGGAGCAAGCTTTGCACAGGAAACTCAGTGCTTCCTCTCAGGCTCCAGCAGCACTGGAAGAGAAAAGTGAAGCTTTTGGGTACACACACTCCGAGCCTGGGCCAACTCCAGGCACCTTCCTGAACATACTTTAAGGAATCACCTTCTCTTTCAAAGTTTACTCTAAGACCTCTTCACCCAAAGCTAAGTCCCCATAACTGCCACATTACAGAGAACTGTTTTTCAAGAGAAAAAGAAACAGTGGGAAAAACCAAACAGCTTAACTGACATGTCAGAGTTGAATTCATGGGTCTCCCAATTTTGTACCAGTAGTTCACACGAAGGCCCATGTACAAAACAAACAAACCAACTATGAAACAGACCTTTGCTTCCCCTCCTTCCCAGCAGTGAACCTGCACAGCCCCACCACGGGTCACCCCTTGGGGTACTCTTCCTTGCAAACCTTCCTTTCCTACACCCCTCACACACGGTGACACCAGGGAGCAGGGTAAGGCACAACCATGGCCCTTCCTCACCCACAGCTGCATTTCACCAACCGGGGTACTACAGAGCTTAATTAGCTATTTAACATAATAGCTAATAACTTTAAAGTAGCTTAAATAGGTATTTGATTCATGAAATTAATTTCAAATAGCTGTTTAGTAACTAACTATTAATACCACAAAATAGCTGTGTTTATATATCTAGATATATTCATTCTAATGGAGTCACTGCTGGTTTAAGGACAAAGGCAAAGAAACTTTTGTAACCAGACACAACCCTATATTGGGAGCATTTCTCCAATATATATACATCTGTGAGAGCAATTTGCACATCATTACCAGCTGAAAAGTTCATTTAGCTTTGGCAACCTGTAGTTATTTAACAATCTGGCACTCCAGCAAGACTGCCTTATCTCCAAACAGGCTTTTGTAGTTAAGATACTAAAGTCATTTAGTAAAGTGATAACACTAAATGTTATTAACTGCAATGTTACATAAAGCTCACACAAAAGAGCAGCTTTTAGTACACAACAGTTATTTGCCAAAGTGACAATACTGTTTTTTAAAATCAATTTTAAAGTTTAAAGAGCACATAATGTTCATGGCTTTCATTACTCTATGAAGAACATATTTTTATCTCATGTTAGAATATCAGAGACGTCTGGGGAGGAAAAAGCAACAAAATCAGAGCAAAATTAAAGCTGGGGGGAAAACAAAGGAAGTTTCTGTGAGAATCGATGTCACCAAAAATTAAGAACTTTTTAAAAGTTATTTTATAGATGTACCTTAGACACCGAGCTTATATTTTGATAGTTTTGGCCTTAAACTTATTAAAAAGAACTTATATTCAGTGATGCGTATTACTGTTTCCAACTGCTGGAAGGCAACTTTAAAGTCTGATAAAAAAAAAAGGAAAAAATACAGTGTTATGAGACAGAGATGCAACCACAGATCATTGAATAAGTGGAGCAGATCT